GAGTGAGACAGATTGTTCAAGGCAGGATAAGTCAGATTCTTGGCAAAGAAATTGATAGAGCTATGCTGCTTTGCACCTGTAGAATATTTGGCCCACTGCTGCTCACCTAAAATATTGTGATTATTTTATTTAGAGACAATAAAGACATATTTCATCTGGAACTGATACAAAGATGGATGACCTGAGTAATGCTCCCTTCAGAAGGGCTTGCTTGGAACAAACAGATTAGTTACATCAATCAGGGGCCATACATAGTTTAGCTCACATCCTAGCACTTCAGAAATTTCTGTTGTGGAACATGGGATCAGATCTGTTGCAAAAGAGTCTGACCAGGCTTATGCAGATAAAATGCACAGAACCAAGATAAGGGGGAAGCTAGATCCTTGCCAGAAAGAACTGTAAAAGCAAGAGCCCTTTTCCATTGCCATTGGGGCTCATAGGTATATGCACTTCACTTCAGTAGGAAAGGGAACGCACCCTAAAACATCTAGAACCTAATTCTGAATATACTCTAAAGCAGTGGTTCTGAACCTTTTTCAGTCAACGTACCCCTTGGTCTCAGAGTGAGACTTCACGTACCCCCTAGGAGCAATGTTTCCAGTGCAAGGTTGAGGCATGGAGCAGGAGTAGGATATCTGGTTTCCACACACATGCACATTTTACGGCAGCAAAACCCCGGCAATTTCAAATTGTCAAGACTTTTTTTAGGCCCTTCGACCTGTGTTAGACAATGTATGAAATATATTGCACGTACCCCACTGATGAGGCTTCACGTACCCCTGGTTCAGAACCGCTGCTCTAAAGCACCTTCACTGATGCCATTGAAATTACTCCTCATTTTGACCAGCATAAATCAAGTCAAGAAGACGAGACTCAGTTCCAGATTGGGTCCCACAATCCTGACATCCACAGACTTTTTGGGTGGGTATCATCCAGCATATGATAGGTTTGGTAAGCGAAGTGGAGCCAGTCTTCTGCTCAAAGCATTTCCTGTATTGCAGACAAATGAGCTGAAATGCAGTCATCTCTGGAGTGTGAGCAGCAGCCAGTGGTTGTCCAGCTTCGATCAAAAGGACAGGCCCTCTGCTCTCTGAGGTGGATCTAGTTATGGCAGTACAAAAGTGCTAAGTTATTCCTTTAAGAGAAAGGGAATAAGCTAAAACCATATAAGGCACATAATTACCCCCATATTAGAGGTTGTATTGATTAAATTATTTTAGTAAAAGAAATTGCATCCCTAAATTAAATAGTTGTATTGGTACAAAACCTGTGGGTAAAGCAGGCTCTTAGAGTGTGTTTTTCATTTTCTAAAATGTGTTGTATGGCTGAAACACGGAGCCCAAGGCTAGGTGAATGTTAGCATCAGGTGAGCATGCCTTGCTTCTGAAAACTCCATTCAACAGTAGCAAATGAGAGTGCTGTAAGGCCCCCAACTATTTTACCTTTCGACTGTTTTTTCAACCTTGATTTGGAATGGGGACATGATGAAATGCTACCAAAAAATCCTGGCCTCATATAATTTCCAACATCACTTTACAGATTTGGTAGGTCCTGATAGCTCAGAGGGGCACGCAGACTTTTGGGTGCCTTACTGAACTCCATTTCCTGACAAATCTAGCAAATCTTTTGGTTGCCTATCTGATCCCAGATTGCTCATCAGGGTTATCACAGGAATTTCACTCCAAAAGAGAAAAAAAATCATTTATTTTCTTGTCTTGTCTTTCTTGTCTTGTCTTTCCAGTATTTGTTCAGCTAGAGAGAGTTTACACAGCTTGTGGAGAATTATTTTGTAAGAAATTAGATTTCTGTAGCTCTTCACTTTCATTTTGTTTTCAACTGGCAGCGCTCTCCATGCACCCCTTCGGAGCCCTAATCTTTACAAAAGCAGGAAATATCTACTGTAAGTGAAGGTTTTATGTTTAAAAGAGAGCAGAACACCACCCCTGCAAAGGAGAAAAAAATGTCTTTAGTTCCATTTTAAAGATAGATAAACAGTGGCACAGATCCCGCAAAGCAGATCATTGGCCAATATTTCCACTAGCCCCATCATCTGGAAATATTCTGATTGGTTGTTAGTATCTATCCCCAAAGTGACATCATTTCAGTGATAAAGAGTGTACATTGGCACCGTTACTGCAGAGAGCTCCAGAGGGGCAAACAGTACACAGGCACAGATCTATCAGTAAGATTATACAAAGTCAGCGTTTCCATGGGTTTGAATGCAGGTTATGCCCCTGCATAGTTTCTTTTAGGTTGATGGGGGGCACAGCTTGGAAAGTGCTTTGGGATGAAAGTTGATCTGTCAAGGTAAAAGACTATTATTGCTCAAAGCTTAGAGCTCATGCAATAAAAAGAGCATTAAGTCTTAAGGAAAGGTCATTCACTTTTCTGTAAAGCAGGTTTCCTTTTGTAATGGACAAATGAGAATTTACCAATGATACTGTGAGGAGGTGTTTAATGAAAGAATCACTTTTCCACTGTGTTTCCATATGTGCCAAGAAGCAATTTCCTAAGTTTTTAACCTGAAGGAGACATGGGAAATATATGTCAGCCCAACCAAACAGTTGTATGACACTTTAATTTTTAAACAGGGTTTGTGATAGGCTGAATTATAAGAAAAGGAAAGAATTGGTATTTTGCAAAAAGGAAAACAGTAAAAAAGGGCTCTTCTGCAGGCCTTCTCTGCAATAGAAAACTTGGAGCAGGTTGCTTAAATTGGGTGCAGCCCACTGGGGAGAAAGGCAACAAATGTGCTAGTGTTTTGCTCGTGAGAAGGCACATTTCAGTCCAAACCCAGTGAGAAGAAATAGGTTCAAGAATATCATCTGGAGTAAGAGTCCACATCCTGGTCAAATGTCAACCTGGTCAAACTGGATACAGGGGTCAAAACAGAGATCACTCGAATCTCACGAGTTGTGTTTGGCCCCAACTGGTGGAAAGCCCTGGAATCGGATGTTCTCACAAGACTGAATGGTATCCAAAGCGCTTTCCGATTCTGAGTTCTGTTCAGAGCCAAAACCATCAGGAAGGCATGTTTGGAACTGGACAGTCAAAATCAAGCCCACCTCCTAACATGGAAGAGTCCAAATACACTTTTCCCTTTAACTTTCACTGTGAGAAACTTACTGTTGAAAAAGGACAACAAGTATTTTTTTACTGAGCTTGGGCTCTACCTGGAAAGAAAAGGGCACCTCCAGTCCAGGGCCTTTGCTGTTGGATTTTCGCCACAAACAGTTTCTAAAGTACCCCATGTACTTGCTGTTGCTTCAGAAGGCAGAACCCTTTTGTTATTTAGAAAATGAAAATGGGTTTTGGACTGGTGGTATAGACACTGATGTTGTAACTAGAGCACTGCGCGAGTCCTATTTTGCATTTATTTCAGTTGCTGTGTTTTCTACTGGTGGACTAGAATTCTCCCCAAGTCTTCTCCTTTTTGTAGCAGCATTAATGCATGTCTCTTGTATCAGGGAAATACTAGACTACTATTTTCATTCTGTAGCAATCTTTGCAAACAAAGACATGTTTGGCTTTGGGCTCTATCAATTTAGGAACTTTCTTAGGACACATTGGGCGTGTCTACACAGGCTTTTACACACGCTTCAACTTCATGCGCATTAGCCTAATACGTGTATTAAGAAATATTCCTTGTTCATGTTCCCCCAGGAATCACATGCCTCCATCTGAGAGTTTTGTTAGGAGAGGAAAATAAAATGGGACCCTCCATGGAGAAATGCAAGCCAAAAGCACCTTAGTAATGTACAGTCACGTGTTCATTCAGTCTTGAAGGAAGTGTTAAGAGCTAGTGTAATTAGCTACTTGACAAACCCTTTACAATACTTTGGTTTTTCATTGAATCCAGAGTTAGAGTCTGTTCTCAAGCCAAATGGACTCAATGGTCGTTGGGTCAAGGTTTGTCTGTCTTATGGTCTGGTTTGTCATCACCTGGGACATCTATTACAATCTCTGCTGTGTCACACTTCCCAGAAAAAAATATTTAAATTAGCCAGGAACTGTTCACAAGGAAAAGGCATTTAACAGACACCAGCCTATGAAATGTTACACAACTACTCACCCAGGGAGAAGAATTTCTTATGATGGAAGAACTGAATATTAATAGGGGTTTTAATTGTTCCATGTCTAGTCCTTATGTTAAAGAACAAGCAAGTAGGTTTTGTGCCAGGGCTAGCAAATTCTCATGACATTTTCCTAAGACTGGCATGAAAGATGGATTTTTTTCCTTCCAATACTGCTTTGCACTTCATGTGACACAGATGCTTCCACATCTGTTTAGTGACTCACACGAAGGGTACATCCCATGCGTGAGGACTCAACACAAGCCAGACTGTATCTCAAACTTTCTGAAGCATTTTCTAGGGATAGTTATGCAATAAATAAGTGGGGATAAATTCCTCCCAGGGATGAATTTGGTTTGTGAAAGTTTAGCTAGCTTTGAAAGTGATGCCTTGGTTTGCAACACTTTCCAATTTTGAAATAATAAATGCATGTTAGTATTGACAGCCCTGGAGACCGTAAAGCTCTGTTCATCCAACTTCTGAAGTCCATCCTCCTTTATTTCTTAGCTTTTACACATAGGAAACTCTCAGCAATATTGGTGTTTGTAGAAGGCAGGTCTGTTATTGTGTAGGGGTTTTTTTATGTGGCACAATTCAGTACCGGCAGAGACACTTCTACGTGACGTAGCTTTGGTACTGGAAGCAGTACAGCCACAAGAGTGGAAACTCTGCAGAATCTGTAAATCCTATCAGGCACCAAGACCTATCTTTAGGCAGCTAAATGCTTTGGCAAATCTTCTGGACCTGTACCTTGAGCAGTCCTCTGAGCTGTTGATTATATTTGCTAGAAGAATAAATCAAATTGAATATTCACTGAGACCAATTTATTTGTTGGATTTGGCTGATTTTTTGTTTCTTTTTCTGATCACAAATTATTCACATGTGAGTTACAGTCCATATCTTCAGCTGGCATAAGTCTTCAGAGTACTGTTAATCTTGTTGGAGTGATGACACTGAGGATCTTGGTTATTTACATCAGTATGGAGCTGGCTCTGCATATTTCTAGGAATTTTTCCCTACCCTTATTTGATGAGATCACACCATTCCTTCAATGCTGTGGATTCACTATGCTGTTTGTATACACGACCACCTAAGTCAAGTAGCTTGTTTTATTTTCTCGCTGGGTGAAGTTTACAGAGAAATTATCACTGAAGGATTCGATCTTTTAGGGGAAAGGAAAGAAGCATTGTAGGGAGAAATGAAAAATCAAAAAACATGGTCAAAATACACCATCCAGTACATGAGTGCTGGGAACAATGTGTATGTTTTAATGAGGCCGGTGGGAGGAGTATCTATATCATTCTGTGCACACTAATTTTGGTTGTACAGTCATCCCATGGCTTGGGTGAATCCTGATCTTAGATCAGGTCAGTTAATCCTTTTGTTTCAGTAACCCCTAAACATGCTGTTGATTTGCTTGGTTAGACCTCTCTTACATTTTTCCTATAAATTAACTTAAATTTCTAAATGAAAAGTTCTTTGTTGCCAAAAATGAACCTTCTGCTTTATAAACGTCACAAAACAACATTTGAAAATTTCCACCCAGCTGTAGTGATGAAGCAACCCAGTCTCCCCAATAACCTAAGCAGTTAAGCTGTAGTGTCCTTGTGTTGGCTTTTTGCAAGGGATGCACGTCTGTTTCTCCCTTTTTGGTCAGCTCTGTGCTTAGAAACATTTTTGAAGAATGCATGCACTCTTCACGACATCAGTAGAAAGATGATGGTAATATTGTGAATGGCAGGATTCCAGTTCCTCATAATGAAAGCTGTGGGATGAGTGTCTTTTGTTTAAATGTCAGAGGATCATAGATGTCAGAGATGAGAAAGGGCCTTTAGATCATTAAGCCCAAGTTCCAGTTTGGAAACTGTAGATGCCTAGGGCCTGATTCTGATCTCTCACTGCTCTCACATCAGCATAACTCCATTGGAGCCACTCTTGATTAACACCGTCTCTGTGAGACTGCAACCGATGGAGAATATGACTTCAAATATTCATGTAAGTATTTTGTTTAGAAACACATGTGGCCTTGTTTTATATTTCACGGTTAAGTAACCCCAACTATGTAAAGAATTAGCATGGAGAAATCTTGGAGGCCAAACTAATTACAATTGTTTAAAGTGTAGGCAATGAACCATGACATGGGTATAAAACATTTCCAGATAGCTGGTATAATAAACTGCTATATTTCGATTCACTTACGCTGATTAATTGATTACTCTGAAGGTAGTGACATTAGAATCAATGGAACTGCTTTTACAGTATGGTGATGGAAGCAAAGATATCAAAAGGATGTCTACTTCTTTGAAGTGCTAGATATCCAGCTGGTGTGAATTGGCACAGATCCAGTTAATGGACATTAATGGAATAAAGTTTTATACCAGCTGAGAATTAGGCTGTAACTACTTAGTACCAGTCATATTTTACATCTTGAAACACATTCCTTCTTTAGTTTTTTTAAATCATGTTTAAATAGTTTTTTTAAATCACTATACAGACACAAAGTAATATACAGTCCCTTCCTGGAAAAGTTTGCAGTCTAAAGTTTGAGATTGTTCAAGACCTTAACAAAAATTAAGACTCACAGTGAACCTGCGAGGTAGAGAAATAATAATATTCTACTTCTGAAATAGGAAAAAAGAGGCACCAATAGTTAAGTGGCCTGTTTTCAAACATCCCTGGCAAAAGGGATAGAAACTACCAAAGTATCCTCTTATTCTCTCTCCATCATTGCAGCCTCCTATTTTTTTTTCCATGGGTTAAATCTATTTAATTTTTCATTGTGTGTTCTTTTATAAATGTGCTTTGGCAGGAGTTGTGATGTTTTGGTTAGTAATCCACTTATTTTGTGGTTAAGAAAAATATCTCAAATAATGCCTTGGACACATTGCTGAGCAGATGACTGTCATTTTTGGCAGCTCATGTGGCATGAGGAGCATGTAAAGAAACATCCTTTTACATAAAAAGGGGAGAGCAAACCCTCACATTTGTATATCTACAAGTATAATATACACTCACTCACTATCAAATTATAGATACAGGCATGGTTTACACCCACATACATGTACACATTCACACTTCCCCTTGTATACCGTATGTTTCTATATGCATGTGCATGTGTATATATTCCGTGATGGAATGATGGCAAGACTGAGGGACGATGGAAATACCTCCAATCCATTTCCAGTAACACAAAACTGAAAGAAGGCTGTGTTCTCATGGCCAAATAGTTAGTGTCTTGCTTGCTGCCATCCTGCTAGTTGCCCGTCCTGATTGTGATGCAGCCATTCAGCTTAGACCTAAGATCGAGGGAAAGCTGTTTGATCCTAGATGGCTGGGAGCAAAAATAAGGGTACTTGAGGAACTTTTCCGTGAACGTCTGGGCTTTGGTTGCTTATTCCCAGAAAAATATGCAAGTCATTACATGTTGCTTTGCAGCTGAATGCTTCCACACTGGACACATTAGTAACTTTAATAAGACAGAGGTTACATGCCAGTCTGCTGCTGGCAAGGCCTGCATACTACCAGTCATCACCATTGGAGGGCATGTGCTTCCAAAGCTGTAGATGAACTCACCTGTCTGCATGAAGTCTATGTCCATGGTGAAATCTCCAAGGGAATTGCTGAAGTTGGCACCATCTCTGGAAGATTATGTGAATGCCTTTGGCACAGGAAAGGCATAAATTTGCAGCCAAAATTGAAAATCCACAAGGCAGTGGTTCTGACCTCCTGGATCTCTACATGTGAATTATGGATGACCTACAGCCATCATGTCAAGAAGCTGATCCATTTTCCTGTAAGTTGTCTGAGGAAGCTAATGAAAATAAGATGGCACGATGCAATCCTAAATTCTCAATTCTTTCAGTGAGCAAAAATGCCAAGTATCAGTGCTCTGATTATGAAGGTACAGCTAGCAATGTCTGGCTGTTAGGATGTCTGATAAGCAGCTCCCCATTAAAATCCTTTTTATGGACAGCTGTGCTCTGGCAGCCACAGCTGGTGGGCAACAGAAAAGATACAAGGTCTGTTCAAAACAGCCCTGAAGTTAGCGCTGTATTGACATGCAAAGCTGGAGACAATCAGCCTGTGAACGGGAGGCATGGTACAAATTATAGCCTAATTTGCATTGAGAACCAAAGCATTCAAGATGCAGAGCACAAGTGCGTAGACCAAGGTTTTGGCATTAAGAGCTGCTATCCTAGTTGTGATAGTAGCTACCACCTTACATCCAGTCAGTAACTGTACATTCTAGGTGAAAACCAAGCTTACCAGCCATCGGAGACTGCACTGCATCAGTCACGAGAGGAAATGCAGTTGCCTTAGACTAAAGAGGATAATGACTATATTACTAGGTATATCCACACATCAACACAACTACATTACTGAATATACACTTGTGCCACACACTTATACCCTACATTACACATGTACTCTTGTACAAGTATATATAGTCACACATTCACATGTTCAGCTTACCCCATCCATCATATATATGCAAACATTTGTGCTTAGTTTTCTAAAATCTGTTCGTTTTAAAACTATTGCTGTTTGCATTTTCATACATTGTAGCCTCTGAATAGCTTAAATGTGCTTGAAATCTAGGCTCACTTTTTCTTTCTTTTCTGTAAACTTGTGAACTGATGTGAGCATTTTTGTCATAACCCGTAGATTAAGTCAATATGCTTCTTTCTCTGGGAGGGGGAAAAAAACCGAACAAATAGCATCTGTCTTTCAATAAAATGCATATGATGGTCGTAGGATGTTTGAAGATGTCAAATTGCATTGGAAATAACAAGTTTATTTGCATACATTTGTTCGTGTTTGTGGTTACCAGCACAAAACTTGTGCTGAAGAATTAAAGTCTAACCCTTTAAAGAACAAATAAATGACATGGTTGCAGCACTAAACATTATTTTTTATTTACAGTAGCATCTCCAGGCCCAAATCAAGATTGGGGCCTTCCTGTGCTAGGCACTCTACATACACAGGAAGAGACAGCCTATGTCCTGGAGAGCTGAGAATCTAACTAGGTAAGACAAGCCATGAAAGAAAGGAATAAGTACTGCCATTTTTCACACTGGACCCAAGGGCATAGAAAATAATTGACATTAGTTCACACAGAGCCAAGAAGGGACCCCTGATCTGAAGGTCTTTAGATTTTGTGGTGTGTGCTAGAAAACTAGAGCACATGAACTGTTTTATCATTCCATTGTTTGGAGGGTCTTTTGAATTGTATGATGCTATTATTAGCAATAATAATTAATTACTAGGTATTTATTTGTATTGCAGTAGCACTTAGGAGCCCAAGTCCTGCACCAGCAACCCATGGTCCTAGGTGTGGTATGGGCACAGAACAAGAAGTCACTCCCTGCCCCACAGGTGTTGCATTAATAATAATGCTAAATGTGCAGTGCCTCGAGCAAGGAGCCTCGAGGAGCAAAACAAATTAAGCTTATTATAAGGCTCTAAAAAAAGGACTCTACCTGGAGATTCTGAAGTGCGTATACAAAGGGAGGAAAGAATTAGTTATATTGCACAAATGGGAAGTTGAACCAAACAGAAGGGGAGTCGTGTGTCTAGATTCCATGACCAGCCAAAAGCCTGAGCTAGGACTAGTATTGCCTGGCAGGTAATTATGTCAGAAACCTGCGCCAGGGCACAGAACAACACCTAGGTCCTCGTGGTGCAGATGGGTGTCATTGTAAATCTGTGCTGATCCTTTGCACAGGGTCAGTTTTTACACCAGCAAAGTAAAAGCATCTGAGCTATGGAACCAGATGATTTCTGTGATCTCAGACACATCAGTTAATCTCTCAGTGCCTCTATTTATCTACTTAGTCCCTACATTGGTTATAATATTATTTCCTGTTTGGCTGTATTATCAGGCTTCATGATATATTCAGGCCTGTAAGTATTCTTCCTTGTGTCAAAAGTCAGATGCTCTTCAGACAAACAATGAGGCATCAAACGTCATTTTTGTGTCAAAAAACAACTTTACTTCCTCTAAGTGGATGCTAGCAAAGCAGTCCAGAGAATTATAAAAGTACAGGAAATAGTAAGTATCTGTGATAGGACTTCCTGCACTCCACAGAAATTAGCTGCACATTAATAATAGCACATGATGGCATTTATTCATGCTGTTCAGAATAAGATACTAAAACATCTGATGTACCAATTACTCTACAAACATGTATGTGAAAAAAGGAAGGGGAGCCTAAAGGCAAGATTTTTAAAGGTATTGAGGCCTCTGACTCAGACCTAAATACCTTTAAAACTTGTCTTAAGTCCAAGTGTTAGAGAGCTAGATCTCAACAGTGTCCATTTTCTAATGTGTCTCAAACTTCTTGTTAAATAAGAGCTTTTTCAGTTGGGACTCTGGGGCCCTACCTTCAATCTTTAAAACTAAAAAGGCCATTTCCCCCAAATATGGGGTGATAGAGTGCAAGCCCTTCCCAGCAGAATCATTCCATTATTAATTATCTGTATCACTTCAGCATCTCACAGCCCCAGTTGAGATCAGCGCCTCATTGCATTAGGTACAGTGCATATGCCTAAGAGAGTCCTTGTATGAACAGCTTGAAGTCTAAGCAGACAGGGCAGACAAAGGAATTGTCATTTGCCCATTTTATAGAGGGAATTGAGGCACAAAACAATGTGCCTGCAGTTGCATAAACTGTCTGCTGCAGAATGGGAAAGTGATCCCAAATCTCCCGAGGTTCAGTCCCTTCACCTTAAAAACATTGCTACCTTAGCTTTTTGTACCAAGCTCTTAATGGGCCTTAAAATTATACTTCCTTTTGGAGTGTCTGTTAATATCCAGCAATCTGAGAAGATGAGGCTCACCACAAAATCAGGAAGGACAAGTACACCTAGGCCTGTCCTGTCTCTTGTTCACCTTCTCTCTACAAAGCATCATAGGACTGTGTAATCCAGTTTCCATAAACTACAGCTGCTACTTCATCCCTTGCCATATTTAAACTCAGGTCCATTTTTTCTCTTTGAGGATCTCAGTGCATTAATAGAGTTAAGCCTCACAAAATTTCTGTGATTTTGAACAAGTACTATTAGAAAATTATCAGCAACAATTATTTTGTGCAGGAAATTTAAAAGAACAAATTATTTTTACTTTTTTCAACATCTTATGTGAAATGTTTCATGGTTTCACTAAGAAACCAAAAATCCTGACACCCAGTTTGTGATAAAATCACTATTTAATGAAACAGGCATCAACATGTTTATTTAAAAAATAATTTTCAGCCAAAACACAAAGGTTCCAAAAATCATGTTTCTTAGAAAAACAGTTTTCATTCCCCCTCCCTCCCCCCCCCACCCCGCTTTTTGGCAAAACATTTGAACGTTTTGTTGAAAATAAAATTGTTTTGTTCAAAAAATGTCATTTCTGCACATAGCAATTTTTTTTTATTCTAGCACAATTTCAGCTATCATTATCTGTATTTAACCAAGAGGAAAAAGTGAGGTACAAAGACAAGAATGAGTAAAAATGACATTAGAACCCAAAACTCTTGACATGGAGTCCCATGATCTAACCAACAGAATATACTTCTTTCCATAAAAAAATATTTTATGATGGAGGCAGTGGAATTTTACAGTGGTTCATAAGCAAACTAGATTTTCAGGTTCAGTAACATTACAGATCAGTAGTTGCTGTTTTCAGTTCCCAGGTTAATTTTATGGAATATCTTCTATTGTGCCAAACTTTAATTAATTCCAAATGACTTCTGTTTTTCTTTACTTTTTTTCCCTTTTGCATGTTGCTGTCTAACAAAGGAACTAAACTCTCAATTTTCCTAAGACTGGTGATTATATGCTTAAGTGATGAAGAATCACAAGTATTTTTCTGAAAACCAATTACAGACGTTTAGGATAAGGGTGACATGCATCCTTAAAATATGTTAAGCTGCTTTAATTGAAAGTAGATGAAATGCAAAAATGTGAGGCCTTGTTAAGAGGAGTAAGCAATTTCAATGTGCAGTTATACTTTTCTAAAAGATTAAATGCTTTGCTTTTCTGCAACATATTTTGAACCAAATTCTGTAAGTATCCTGAGGATTTTTATAAAGCAGGTTTTTGTGAGACCCATGTTTCAGAAGTAATACCATATTTGTAAATTGGTTTGATGGAGCTAATTTTGCTAAGCATTTTTTATTTACAGGATGTTTTTTGCATTCATTTTGGGTATGAATGTACACTCTGTGCCAGATCCAGTACTACTTATCTGGTTTTGTGTCACCGAGGCGGTACAAACAACTATGAAATAGCTATGTAGTAGCTGAAACTTCCTCCTGATACAGAGTTTGTTTGAAAAATTAGACGGTGGTAGGAAGGAGGTGGCAGGGGGTGAGAAGAATGAAGGATATCAAGTTGGTGGTGGGGATTTGTATGTGCTTTGTCTGAGCTTGTGGTTGCAAAACATGGTCTGCAGGACAGTGGCATTCCCTGTATTTTAGAATGGCATATAGGATGTTCTGACTTATTCCAGGGACTCATTTCAGCCCATGACTAACTCAGGGCAGGGGATACAGACTGATGCCTAAAGCCACCCTTTCCCCATCTTAATTGTTGCTTGAGGTCTAAGCCCTTTGCTCATAAAGACCCAGAATGAGCGCACATGCCACTTGAAACTCAGAGTTGGGAAATTCATTCGCAGTATCAGAAAGTTTGTTACTAATTAGCTTTGTAAAATTATAATAATCTGATCATTTCTACCTTCCCAGTACATCTCATATTAATTTACCCTTGGTGAGAAAAGGAATCAAAGACAAGTTATATTTGGGTTAAAAAAAAACAACCTCTAACTAGCTTGTTTTCTAGAGCACTGATCCTCTTCCTCTGTGGCTCAGATTAGACGAACCATGATGCCTAAAAATCTAAATTGATGCCTTAAAGATGGGGCATGTCCACATTGCTCTGGGCAATATTTCATTGCATTTCATTTGAGGGTTTGTGCATGCTTTCAAGTGTTTTTAGTATTAAACAAATTGCACCCCCTTCCCTTTCAGCTCAGAGCTAGTAAATCATTGTGGTGGCTGGAATGTCCCTCTCTGATGCATTTTTATCTGGATAATCTGATATAGTAATTTGTTCACTCTCTCAGATTGATAGTGCCTTTCCTAATAGCCAAGAACTCAAGGGGGAAGTTTCAGGGGAGGGTCACCCTCCAAGACGTTTGAGCCTGCTTTATTTTGCACAAAGCTTTTAGGTGTAGATTTGGACAGGGAGTGATTTTCTTTCCTACTAATTATACGGGCAATGCCATGGATGCTCTAATCTATGCAACGGGCTCCAAGCAGCCTCAGCTGGTCCCAGTGTACGTACGGATGCAGAAATGGGGTAAATCACTTAAGCCTTCACCACTGGGGCTTGTGCTAAGCAGGGCTTATCTGTGCTGAGGAACTGTTACAGGCATTTCAGCTCTCAGGCTTTGTCATCTAAAAGGTCTCGATTCTTAGGGACCAACTTTAAATCTGATAAGAGAGAGAGAGAAACCAATTCTGTATTGAGCCAAGAGGTTCAGCAAAGATTATAATCTTGCTTCTCTTCCTTCTCCTGCATCAACAGGTACTCAATGTGGACTTCTGTTTTTATGAAAACCCAGAGGCCCAGCCACACTGGGAGCACAACACATAGCTCCCAGGATCTCTTAGTGAGGGGACTCATGGGATAGCGGGTCAAGGACATACAGGGTGGGAAAAGAAAGGGCCTGTCGTAGGATGTGGCAATATAGTGAGGTTTCCCACAGTGACAGACGTAATCTCTCCCTCTCTTTGTATTTCTCCTTTCTCACTCTGTTAGCTTCCATCAGAGTCATCCTATTAGTAATAACGATAACATTATATAAAGCCTGCCCTTTCAAAGAGCAGGAGACCTCTGAATCACAGATTTGGCTTGCTGAATCAAAACCCTTTTTCCTGTCTGCTGCCACCCTTTCCCTGCCTTGCTCTCTGCACATGCCAGGTCCTGAGAGACAGCATCAAGACTTTCTTTAAAACAGCTCCCAGAATATAAAAAGAACAGCGATTAAACAGTGATTGCAACAGCGATTAAAGCATGGCATTGCTGAATCCTCTTGAATGTGCAGTCCTCCCTCTTGGGATTTGGGATGGAAATAATCCAAGTGAATCCATGAGATTTTAATTGGAACAAGTCACTGGCATGGCTCTTGGCTGGAACTCCCTTCACCCCTTAAACAGCTGGCTCAGGCTTCAGCTCCCAGGCCCCCAGGAAAGTGTAGCGTGGCACAGGGAGGCTGAGTAAACATATCTGATGCACTTTCTCAGCAGGCAGAGCTGGGAAGTCCATTTGGGTTAGTCTGAGTGGGATTTCTGTCTTGTCTTGTTGACGTATGTTGACACAAAGCATAAGTGTTTCTTGTCCAGCAGTTAAGCCAGAGGGGGAACAGGAGTTGGGGAGAGGCAAAGGAACCAAGATGGAAGGAGTAAAGGGAAACCTGCAAGATGGAGGATGGTGTATAGGCGCAGAGGTAGAAGGCATATGCTGGGACAGGGGGCATTATGGAAGAGAAGAGAGAGTCCAAACTGAGAAGGGTAGACAAAAGTGTGGGACATGAGGTGAGGGGATTGCAGCAGAGTGGGAGAGAAACCGGGGATTGAAATGGAAAAGAGAGTCATGAAAGAGCTAAAAGAAGAAAAGAGAGAAAAGCCAGTAGTGGAGAGAAAGGGATGGGAAGAGGGAGCTAGAAAGGAAGGGAGTGCCCCGGGTTGGGGTCATTGGGACTAGGTGGAGTGGGGGACTACCCCATGACCCTCCAGCAAAACCCCTATGCAAGTGGGAACTGCTATAGGTCCAGTCCTGTCAACTGAGATAAGGATATTTAATGTGAACTGTAGGAAAAGGGGGAGGAAGATGACTTAACAAGGGAGTGACAGACAGGTAGATAGATCAGACCTATGAACCAACTTATGCCCTGAATTGTTAGAAACATTGGGCCTACCTAAGAAAAATCTTGCTTTCCAAATAGCCCCATCTAAATTTTTTCCAACTAGCAACCTCTCTCCCAAAACTGACAATACCAAATACTTTAATGAAGGTGACACTCGCTCCCCAACACACACGCATTGCCAATCATTATTTTGGTTAAAGATTTTTATGACTGTTCCCCTTTTCCTGGCATCATGTTTATTATTACAGCAAAGCAGTGCATTTTCTAATAAGACTTTTTACATATCTTTTAAAATGCCTCCTCCTCATAATCCAATGAGCCTTCCCATAAAATGCTCTTCAGTGGAAGAAAAGCAAGATTCCATGGGGAGACTTGAACTGGACTCAGATTTTTACCATTGTGTCTGTTTAATAGCATATGTTTATTAATGGCTTATGACTAGCTGAGATGCTGAAAAAATGTAAAACTATGGCCAAGATTTTCAGTTAGTGATTCTAGGGCAGGGGCGGGCAATTATTTTGGCAGGAGGGCCACTTAATGAGTTTTGATGAGTTGTTGAGGGCCGCAAGGGTAGCCCCGCCTCTTGATTGCCATCTTGGGATTGGAAGTCCCACCCTTAACCCCCGACCTTTGCCACCAGAAGTCCCTCCCCTCCCCCTGCAAGTACTCCTTTTGGGAAGGGGGGTTTGCCATCTTGGAACTGGAAAAAAACCAAATCATATACTAAAAATCAAACATTTATTATAACATATTTTAATTTTATATCAAAAAATATTTTGTCCTTATTTACATGTGTTTGTGTGGTGTATATAGAGGTGATTGCATAATAGTTCAAAATAAATTTTTACTCTTGTATATTGTGTTGGTGTGGTTGAGGGGTGGATGTGTATGTGGTGGAGGTGTGGGGGGGTGTTTGTGCAGTGTGGGTGCATGGTCAGGGTGTGGAGGAGGGTATGTGTGGGTGGGTGTGGTTGTGGAGTTTGTGTGATGGTGTGGGGGGCATGGGGGAAGGTATGTGGGTATGGTGGGGTGTGCGTATAGGAGACCCCACCACACCCACACACATGCCCCCCTCCCTCCCATGGTGCACAGCCCCTGTTGCCGGCAGCAGGCAGCAAGACCTTGGGGGCTGATGGCTCACACAGGTGGAGCTGCCCAGTGGTGTGTGGCTCTAGCCAGTTCTGGGCAGGAACTGCATGTGGTGGCAGGGAGTGGTGCAAAGCCAACTTGGCTTCATTGTGTGTGGTTCCCCACATCTCATGTGCAGCACCAGGGACCTGGCCAGAGCTGTGCACCATGGTGGGCGGGGGGTGGGGGGAGGAATCCCACATGATGGAGTGGCAGGGGGCAGGGCTTCCTGCTTCTTGCTGCTACGTGCAGCTCCCCAGACTCCACCAGGAAGCAGGGAGTGGAACTGGCCTGGATCCATCACACAGGGCTATTGCTACTTCCACTCAAGTCCCAGGAGCTGTACATGGCAGCAGGGAGCGGGGATGGCTGCTGGCTCCATCATGTGGGGCTTCCCACTGGTGGTGCAGAGGTCCTGGGAGCTACACATGAGATGAGGAGTCCTGTGCAATGGAACTGGGATGATTTGGGCTCCACTGCCCCACTGGACATGGGGCCCACACTCCGGGCTCTGCGCTTCTGCCCAGCGGCCACTCCCCACCCCACCCCCCCAAACGCCACTGCTTCCCTACCTGCTGCCTGGAGTGCTGCAGCCGGGACATGTGGAGGAGCCACTGAAGGCCAGGGAAGCTGAGCAGTTCCCCAGGCAGCTGCAGCAGCAGCAGCCCTACCTGAAAGCTGTGTGCTGGCCCGGGCTGGGGCTCTCCCACACACAAGAGTGGGATCACAGCACACTGCCCGAGTGGGGCAGTGCACAGCAGGGACAGCTGCAGGCTGGGTTGGATACGATTAATTGCCAGCCACCTGCCCACAGGCCAAATGAAGTCACCTGGTGGGCCAGATCTGGCCCACAGGCCATATTTTGCCTGCCCCTGTTCTAGGGACATCAGATTTCTTATGTCCACATTAATTATTAATATAAATAATTTGTTTGCTTGCATTGTGATAACACCAGCCTGAAACACCTTCCCACTTCCTTAGAGTTAAGCTCCTTTAGATTGGTTCAATGTGGACAACTGAAAATGGAAACAGCAAAACTTATTTACTTTAAAAATAATTGGCCTGTATTTTTATTTAATTTCTTGACTTTGAATGGTCCAAAGCTGATTTTATTCCCATACTAATGTACAGTTGTTATCACAAGTCATCCAGTAACATTTATGTTGATAATAGGATTCACTTTATAACCCCACAGTTTTCCATAAAAACAAATATCTTTGCTACTTCTGACATACTGTATGAAATGGAAAGGAGGCTCATGGGGAAATTTTCATTAGGAAAAATTATTTGAAGGCTTAATTCATTTCCCCTTTCTCATAATTGTTTTATGTCTTGAAAAAAACAAATTCAACAAGAGGGTAAGTAGACCTGTCCAAAGTCCATAGAATTTCAGTGGAAGTCTTTCCATTGACTTCAAGGCCTTTGGCTCACACCCCAAGTGAATAAAGTAATTCACATCTGTGTTTGCAGGCTTTGGGCCTAAGTCGACACAATCAGCTGGGACTCTATCACTGGAATGCTTTGCTCAGAAAGATGAGACAACATCAAAGTAAAATCTACAAGCTCAAAAGGTTCAAAGGGTTCTAGCAAGAGGCTATGCAAGAACTTTAAGGGCGCTGAGAAACATCAAGGCCCTCGCTCTAACTCATGGTGCTTTAGATGAAGTGCCATGAGTTAGAGTGCCCCCCACCCCCACAACCCAACAGAAGCTTACCTGTTGTGTCGGGGGAAGGGAGGGTGGATGAGGATCGAGCCTGTCTGCAGTGGAAGAACCACGCTCTCCCCCAGCCCCACCCCCACCCCATGCTCTTCCATCTCCAGTGCTGCTTGCAGGAAGGGAGTGGAGAGGGAGAGCGAGCTGTGGGCTGGGGTTTGTCCAGCCTGAGCTGGAAGGGAGGGTGGGAGTTCCAATCTACCCAGCTCCCCACTCCAGCTCAGGCCGGGCAAACCCCAGCCCAGAGCTCACTCCCTCTTCCCCCTCGACTTCCTGCCAGACTGCCCTGGGAATAGGGCTAGGATGATGCACCACAAATTAACTCCAGCAAACACAAGTGGAGCATCTTCATCTGATTCCTCATTTGATGAGGGTTAATTTGCTGCGTGATGGACTATTAAAAATACTCTGCAGCTGTGCATGTGTGTCATGGCATGGCTGTAGAGCACTTTCAGGGGGCCAGTCACATGACAAATGTAACTTCTGTCTGTGCCCTAAAACTTCTGGCTGCTCATTTGAGGCAGAGGTCTGCCCATCTCCAGTCCTGGTTGGTTCTTCCACTAGCCACCTTTGATGGTATGTGGGTCAAGATACACTTACAGCTGCAGAACTTTCTTTCACTGTTATTAACTCTATGGAGTGACATAGATACCAGAAGTCTTATGTGAACACTGTGTCTTGTGGTATTTTTAGACTCCCAGAATGGTGGTACATGACAGCCTATTAATGCCAGCTTTCATAAGTGGCTCTGGATTTTGAGCGCTTTAATTTCTGGGGGCCAGATTTTTAAGAGTAGTGCTTTTGTGACTCATCTGCTACTGTAGCGGTTGGTCCCCTGCTAAGAGTTCTATGCTAATCATCAGGTACAGGGAGATTCAGCGTGTACAGAGAAGTGGCACAAAGCTTATACTCTAGTTAATTCTTACTTATTATGAGGATTTAAGCAGTTTATAGGCCTCTCTGGTTCACAGGTCTCTTCCCAGGGATGAATCTAAAGCTGAAAGATAAATGAGTTTATTGCAAGTGGTGAGGGGCAAGGAACAGACCAATTTTGTGCACAAATTGTGTGGCTGATGGAACTTACAGGAAATCACCATTTCATCATCTGGCCAGCTGGAGAGTTAAAAGGTTGATTAAGAGTTGCACAGTTGTGCCATCAGTTACTAATCACATCCTGCCTTGACTGTCGAAAGATTTCATTTTCAAGTTATGAGAGTTCTGCATGCAAATCCCTTAGATTAGACCCGGCGATTGTTTATATGTCCCTTGGACATGGGTTTAAAAATTACCTACTTCATAACAACAGCAATAATAACACTAAGCTCTTACATAAAACTCTCCTTGGCTTGGAAAGTGCTTTATGAAGGAATTCAGTGGCATGATCTCCATGTTATGCACAGGGAAACTGAGGTATAAAGAGGTGTGGTGACTTGCCTGAAGTCGCACAACAGACCAGTGACACAGCTGAGGGTAGAGCCTACATCTGTTGCTTATTTTGGGTGGGGAGGGAGGGAAGGGGGCAAAAGAATACAGCTAGTTTTAAAATGTAGCTTGATAAATTCATGAATAGCTTTATATGAGATGGTTACTGGTGATGTAAGAAGACTGGTTGTGTCTCTGTCACTAGCATGGTACTTACAGTATGGCAGGAGGTGGACTATACAAGGGTGATCTTCAGATATCAGGTCATGCCAGTTTGAGGGTGTATTTGGAAAACAGTGAGAAGCTGCCTAAATGCAGGGAAGGGCCTGGTGATAGAAAGAAAGGACATGTCAAAATGCAACACAGCTTTTCTTTTTTCCGTCTAATGATGTGGAGCCACATCAACAGCCAGTGTAACTCAGAGTAGGAGAATTGATTGATAACAGCTGAGGATTTGGACGGTAACATTTTATCAGAGCTAGTAAAGTCTGCTATAATTCTTTGTGGCTCGTTTCTTCATTGTTAAAAAACTAATTGAAAATGCTAAAAGCACCCAGAGCAGTCAGAAATTACCAGAGAATGTGGGTAGTTATGGTATTAGTGGTTACCACTCATTTTAAACTAATTGCACCCTAAGGTAAAACCAAATACAGTAGCAAACTACATCCAAAAATGCTGTCCACATCTGAGGTTATAACCACTATCGTTTTCCAGTTTTAGTATTGTTTGATATTCAAGAGCTTGAAATGAAGAGTGATGGTGTTGGTTTTGGACTGGGTTCCTGCCATTAATCACAAAGTATACTGGTGAGAATCTCAGCTTTCATGGCAGGTCAAAGCCTGTTTCTCAATTACCTTCCATATGTAGCCATGCCTGCTGTTAATATGCAGCACATATTTCAAAGACTCTGCTGCTTGATCACAGCCAACCCCTGCTCCCACTGAGGCTTGTTGACTGAAGTCAGCGGGAGCAGAATCAAGTCCTAGAAAGAGAACAAGTTATACAAGTGGCTCCTTGTGAGACAGAAGTTCGTGCGAACCTGAACAACTAAGGGGGTGTTGGGAAAGTATGGCGTAGAATTCAAACCTTGAACCATACCCAAATCTGAGAGGTCATTCCACCCATGTGCATTGCTCTCATCCATGTGCATCACCAACTTTGTGTCAGCAAAATATAAGCATAAAAATGCAGTTTGGGTACTTTTTGATGGGGAGTCATAATTGTTCAATGGGTGTGTTTATGCAAAGGAAAAACAATTCTAACCATAGCTAGAGTGGATCATAGAGATACCCCAACTAGCTAGTTCAGGTGGCATAAGAGGCATTGAGCGTCACGCTCTTGCACTCAGGCCAGAGTCTGAACCACAAATCATCTTCCCTTTGGGCAGAAATTGGATCTCAAGCTCTAAGAATAAGATATTTCAGTGAGCATCTCTCTCATGGCCATATGCATGCCAGCAAGCACTGGAGTTACCCACTCAGAGAAAAGGGCAAGGTATTTTCCTGTTGACCTTAAGAGGCTTTGAAAATACTCCCATTGATAATGTTAAAGGCTGTATACATTATTGTTCAATAGAGAGGCCTTCTAGCAAGTTCCTTGGTGGGTGATGCTATGTTTACTTATGGAAACTGGGCACTCTTCGAGGCTTTTATTGGTGCCATCCTTTTTAGCATCCTTGTACATAGCAGACGTCAATGGCTCTCATTAACAAAGACTTGTAAAGGGATAAGGCAGTTGCTAAGGAAACGCCTATTGCACAGGAGCTAAACAAACAACAGCAAGTTCGGCAAGAAGCCATGCACGCTAGGGGCCGGATTCTTCCAGTTATAACCTTTTTTGTGTAAGTAGTCCCTTTGACTTCACTAGGAGATGCTTCACAGTTCACATAAAGGAATAGTTTGCAGGTTTGGGACCAAAGATACAGAAAGCTTCTTAGCACAAACTCTGAACTTTACACTTCAAGTGGAGCAGATCAAAGGCAGCATGCAGGAGAAAAAGCATACATCCACTTTTGGCTGCTGAATATAATTAGTTGTCATTTAAAAGCCATCCTGTAATCTTTGTTGTGATATACATTTTTACCAAGGGATGTTAACAGGAAACTTCCATGTGCATTACTCTCATTCTTCTTTTAATCTTCAGGAAGTTTACAGCAACTCTCAAAGATTAGGCACTTTTCAGTGCAACCGAGCGTTGTCCTTAGACTGTACCCAGGTATCGTTGCATGCTTCATACAGGCTAAAAGGCTTGCGGGAAGTTTATTTCTGGTGGTAGCTGCTGAATGAGACTGTGTTGCTGCTTTGATTTATTGACTGGTGGAGTGAATTCATTATGAGTCAGATTTCCATGAAAGCTCAGCTAATTTTCAGACCCTGAAATAAAGAAGCATTTTACAAAAGAGCACAGGGAAGCTATTTTGAGAACTTAAAGGGACTTTGAAGTTGGGTTTGGAGATTTTGCTTTGGTCCATGTTCAAGTTTGCAAGTTGCTTAGCCTAACAGATCGAACACCACCTTGGAAACTCGTATAGATTTCTAGGATGTGGGGCTGGAAGAGAGCATGAAAGGTCATCTGGTCCATCCACCTGCCCTAGAGCAGGATCAACTGACCCTAAACCCCTCCTGTCTAATTTGTTTGGAACAAACTCCAGTAATGGAGATTCCAGAACCTCCCTAAGGAATCAGTCCTTCCAGTTACAGAGCTTTCCTGATGTCTAACCTAAATCTCACTTTCTCCAGTGTAAACCCATTATTTCTGTACCCTGAGGGCATGGAAAGCAATTTATACCCCTCCTCTTTGTAGTAATCTTGGATATATTTGAAGGCTGCTACCATGTCACTCAGGCTTCTTTTCTCTTGGCTAAACAAACCAAGTTCTCTTCCAATCTTTCTTCATAAGTTGCATTTTCTAGGTCTCGTAGCTTTCTTATTGTTCTTCTCCAAATCTTCTCCAGTTGGCCCAGATCTCTCATAAAGTGAAGTTCCCCAATCTTAAAATAACTAAACAAAACAAAAATAACACCTAAGTAAAACATTGGGAACTAGTAATATGATTAGAGGCCTAGAGACCAGGTCATACGAGGAGAGGCTGAAAAAATTAGGACTGTTCAGCCTGGAGAAGAGAAGACTCAGAGGGGACTTGGTGACGGCTTATATCAGGGGTGTACATCAGGGCTTGGGGGAGCATTTATTCACCAAGGCCCCCCAAGGGAGAACAAGAAATAATGGGCACAAACTAATTGAAGATTGCTTCAGGATAGACATAAGGAAAGACTTCTTTACAAGTCGAGTACCAAGGGTTTGGAGCAGGCTCCCCTGAGAGGTGGTACAGTCATCCACCCTGGTGATCTTCAAAAAACATCTTGCTGCCCATCTTGCTGGGGTCATCTGATCCCAGCGGTCTTTCCTGCCCAAGTCCCCAGGGGCTGGACCTGATGATCTGTAAGGTCCCTTCCAGCCCCTAACAACTATGAAACTAGCATTGATAAGCAAGAACACTTTCCAGTGGGCAAGTTGTTTAAGGCTGCATACTGTGTGGCTGCTTTGGCCTGCTTCTGGATCTGAGAGAGGCAGGACAGGACCCCTTGTGACCATTCCTGTGTTTTACTGGAGTGCCCTAGTGCTTGTCCAGAGTGTCATTTAAGTTAGTAAAGCCCCAAACAGGTGTACGAATGTGATTAGAAGATTAGGGTTTGGTTTTGCTAATGTTTGAACCTGCTCAGTGGGAACGGAGGGTGCCTGCACCTCCTGGAATCAAGTGTTTACCATGGTGACATTCTGCAATAATGTAATGGCATCAAGTGGAAAGTTTGTTGGAGCTACTGATCCCTTAGCGGGAAGTGAACCCATTGCCCGTACCAGCAGAATGGTTTTTATGGGCTGGTTTTTCCTTTACGACTGTGCATATGGAGCGTTAGTGGGTTAAGAATTTCCTTATTGCATGTTAATGCCCTTTAATATGCTTTGAACCTTTTAATTTTAATTACATTAGTCTCCATTCTATTTTAAGTCCCTGCAATCTGGTTACTCTTATTCAAATCAGGTTTCCGATTCTCCACACTTAGCTGCTGTTTTTCCGCTTTGCTAGATGCTGGGCTGTTTTTACTGCAGAATTATTATTGGCGTTAACACCCTGCAGAGGACAAATATAAATGGCTCCCACAGAACCGCTATTTCCAGATGATCCAGAAAATAATTACTTTTCCCTGTAAAAATTTGGACAAAAAAAAATCATCTGTTTGATGAAAACCCCAAAATTTTCATTGAAAGCATATTTTCTCTGACCATTGGAAAAACCTTTTCCAGAGCAAAATTCTGTCTGGTTTATGCTAAAGTCAACAGCCAGACTCCTACATATTATAGATTAATAGAACCAAATTATTTTGTGGATGTTACAGATCCCCCAGAGGCTCTGAGGAAGAGTCACACCCTGATGTGCTTAACATTGTACAGATACAAAGAAGGAGATGGCCCCTTCCTGGAAGACCTTACAGTCTGAATAGACAAGACAGACAAAGAGTGAAAAGGAAAAAAAGGGGTTCTGTATAGGGGTTCATATGACATTCTGTATAGGGACTTATTCTGGCCCCAGTACCATTCAATATTTTCATTAATTGACTGTAAATGTGTATATGATACCAAGCTGGAAAGAGTTGCAAGCACTTTGGAGGGTAGGATCAGAATTCAAAATGCCCATGACAGCTTGGATAAAGAGCCTGAAGGAAACAAGGTACAATTCAATAAGGATAAGTGCAAAGCATTACACTTACATAGGAATAATCCATTTTACAAATGTAAAAGTGGGAACGACATTCTAGCTAGCTGTTCTGCAGAAAAAGATCTGGCACAGTGGATCACAAAATGACCAATACTTGGTTTACAGCAAAGTACCACCCTGGAATATATAAACTCTCATGAAGTAATAAGGATTCATACCCCTGGCAAGACATGGAGATTTTGCCTATCCTGAATGGCAAATGTTATTGCTAACCTCACTGCCGCTATGTGTAATGGCCAAGTAAGCCTTCATTGTCCTTAGCTGTGATGTTGACACTTGATTTGGACCCAGCACCTATACCTTTGTTCTGGGTGATCACAACCCTCAGACCAACCACAACACCTGCCAGTTGATAATAGCCAGATTTATTGAAGCAAAGTGATAACAGAAAAGCATCAATATAAACAATCAAACAATTATATATCTACCAGTCCTAGGGCTGTCATCACAGTCAAAGTACATCTGGTCAGGATGCAGGCTCCACTCTGAGGCTCTCTCTCTTAGGTGTCAGCAGTCTGGAGGTGGGATGCCGAGGCCCACAGCCCCCCTCCAGTGGGGTGCATGAGATGGACTACTGGCATGCCCTTTGTCCATGGCGGCCTCAGGGACCCTTCCCAGGGGACAGGGATGGGAATCCCTCTCAAGGAAGAGAAGGAGGGACAGGGAGGGACGGACAAAGGGAGGGACCGGGAAGGATGCTTCGTTAATCTCCACTCTCTGCTTTTGTAATCTCCTTCCCCCTTGATGACTCTTCATCCATGGCTATCTCTGGTTGGTTGTCTCTCTGTGGTCACACGTCCACGTAGCCTTCTGGGCCTTCTCCTAATTTGGTCTGTCCCCCCAAAACCAGGACTTGGGCCCCCCTGCTCTCTGAGGCCTTGTTGCTGGTGTGACTTATGTTATGGGACAGCATGGAACATACTTCTTTGGTTCCCAGCCTGTTTCCTAGGCTGTGTCCTTGTTGGTCTTGTTGTGCTAGACAGCCTGTGTACTTCCAGGGCCATGAGAAGCTGTGTGTGTGTCTCCCAAGCTCTTTAGAAATCCATTTAACCCCTGCTGCCCATTGTGACCCCTTATAATGCATATATCTATACCTATAAGCCAATTCCCAAAAAACAGGCCTTTAAATACCATTTCTAAGCCAACATGTGGGTCCTGTGTTGAATTTGGGGAACTATAAGTTTTTGTCATTCAATTTTTACCACT